ACTTAGTTATCCTATTGAACTAAGATCTTGGGATCTCCAATCTACAAGGTTGGGTTACCATCATGGATTTTCGTTTGAGTTGTGGGTTTATAGACCCATTCCCATCACTAACTAGCACATTTGATCTCTATTGATTCCTTCGTCAATGATCAACCAAATTATCTCTTGACTTCGTAAAGTCAACGTTTATAATTTCACTAGAGATCAATTGCTAAATGGTGTTACGTCTACGATCGAGACTTTACCATTTTACATATTATTTTGTGCTCTTTGTACAGCCAATTGACTACTACAATTATTTTCAAGCACCAACTAAGTCCATCATATAATGTCCTCTAGAAAATTGTGGAGTTATCCAACATTTTTCTTTAACTTCCAAGTTATGTCTCGAATTCCATAGTGAATCAAGTTATACATTTATTTTGAGGACTTCCACAATACAAAATCATTTATGGACTTAGTATCTTAGTAACACATATCCAATTCGTATGAATTTACTTTTCAAGTATAATTGGATATCTTCTATAATGTAATTTACGTTTGTACTTCCAATAAAACTTATTAGTTTATCAATCTATTACATATAGGATTACCTACTTACTTGACTTGCTTAATGAGTCAATCAACATGTAGTTCATTAAACTACAATCTATTCAAGAATATTTTAGTTGAATCATTGTTCACCACTATTCTTTATAGTCTTATATTGATGAGTTCAATATGACTAGCATTGTCTCAACATACTGAGACTCCAATAATTCATAAAATCCTTAGTGATTTTAATCTCAATAAGATTGCATCAATAGGACCATATTTTCCACATTGAAATCTTTTACTAATATTTCATTAGTTTTCATGATAATACCATGATTACACAGCATGATTAACATGTCATTTACTCAAAAACATGTACTCTTATGTGCATTTATCACACACGTACTTTTCAGACTCGCCAAGTTTAAAAGTATTTGACAACAATTCTTATCAAATGTACAATTGCTTTAGAACTTATTTAAGTTCATACTATACGAGTTTCACTAAATTTTCCATTTGTCTCAAAGACAATTAACCTCCAATTTGGACAACACTTCATTAGTTGCTCGAGTTATACATTTACTAACTCATAATTTAGAAAACCAAAATCAAACTATTGATTTCGTAGCTCTCTTTTATTGAGCGTTTGGTAATTTATCACTTTATAAATTACCATTTAATCTAATAAAAAAATTGGTTATTTATCACTTTATAAATTACCACTTGATCTCATAGAGAGATATATCTTTAGCTAACCATTTACACTCTTTAAATGTAGCTCATTGTCAATGTGAGATGGTGACTTTTCACCTCCATATACATTAATTTCCCATTCACCCCTAGTCGAGTTTGAGAAATTAAACACACTAGATTTATCTAGTCAAAGTGTAGGTTTTTATTCCATAACTTAACAAATGGAATCCACTTAAATTGTTTGTCAAACTTGGTCAAAATCCAATTTTTCAAACACATTTAATTTCAAAGATCGTACATTTATTTGCCTCAAGAATGACTATCTTGAGCACTTTCGTACTTAGCATATTTAATAAATATGCATTTCAATATGTTCAACTTAGATACTTTTACCTTAGTCAAAACACCCCCACATTTCTATGGTCCAAAACCTTTATGTGGTAAAATAATGAGAAAGTGGTGAGCCATAATCTCCCCCACAAATTCTAGCTTACTCTAGAATTATCAACATGGCTTTCTTACTCATTAACAGTTCGAGTATTTCATTTCTCAATACTTACAACTGTGGTTGATAAGGACTAGCGATTTGATAAGTACGAAACTTGTCAAAAAATACTCCATATCATCCACGTCAATCACTTTGAATAAATTTTTTTATTCATATACCATGATCATTCTCATTTAAATGATTCTAAGGCCTCATCTTTGTTGCTTAACAAAGATACATTATAAAATTTTTGGTATAAATACCACAAAAGTCACAAATACTTTTCTCATAAATTGTACAATCTTTTAAATCACCAATGTGATTTAACTTTATACACACTGTGTTTATTTTGTCTTAATAGAACACACTATAGGAAACTTCTCAAGATACTGAAATCAAGAAAGTTCTTATCAAATTGTGACAGTTTGTACACAATTCAAATCCTTTGATCCAACAGTGCAACTGGCCACAATAATCTCGCGTATAGAGATTGTTTGACATTTTCCGTAAGAGAAAAAAAACATCCATTGCTTTACGAATGGATCAGATGTTCAACATCATAAAATTCTATTTCATTCATTCATAAGTTATACTTATGTCTTATGAATACAATATCTAAAAATCACGACAATCCAATAGATCAGTTATCTTCGATGTTTTTTTTAGATAACAACTGCTCAAATATTCCTTTAGAAATTGAGCTTCTTGAGTTTCGATTATATATCAATTTCAAATATTACATGCCTCTACTTGCACACACATATGAAATTATCATTTTAAAGATAAAAATGCATCAACTTGATATTCAATATACTAAATATTGAATTTAAGCATAATAATATCACAAATAGCATGAATATCTATGATATAACATAACATTTGGAGTTAATCATGAGCTTATAAACATACATATATGCACATAATCATAATTAGATAATTCCAAATATTCACATGCATCATATAATATATGTATACAAAATACTTATATGTAAATAAGCATTTCAAAATTAACATGGAATAGATAATCCATTCGTACATATCCGATTAAACATCATTATTCATGCTGAAAATTATTTATATTCATAGCATAAATATTCATATAACTTAACCACGTATTATAACATAATTTCCAATTCATAAAAAATATGTTTCAACAAACATATATTATATGCTTCTAATTCTATGTACTCATTGACATAGATATCATACAAATAATATAACATAAAAAAAATATTATTATACGTTATTTCAAGTGTGCGACAATACTAGCATCTCATAATATTATGCACTAAATTAATTTAAATTCTGCATACGAATTTCAGCAAAATCTCATGCATATATCAACATTAATCCATGCATCTCAACATATCGAAATAACATTCAAAGTATCTATCATGCTTCGAACATAACAACATTCAAGATTTATCATACTCTCATAAATAATGTTATCATGCCAATTATAACATATAGTGCAAATATTATTACGCCATAATTTTATCATGCAACATAACCATGTTTCTATCTCATATAATACCATATTATTTATCATATAATATTATCACTTAATTGCATGAGATACAGTAAATTAATAAAAAGGCGTACCCGAAATAATTATAAACGTGTCGTTTCAAACTTCTGGGACGAATTTGAAATTCTTACATAAGGAATGCATCGGCAGTTTTGGCAGCACTGAAAAACTTAATCATATATTTAGCATCCGATGTCCGATTTTGTTGATTCAATATGATCCGATTAGCCAACGAAATTTCCTACAACTTTCGTCTTTTAAGTTTTCTAAGATTCGGACTGGATCATGATCAAATTAAGCCTCCAAGTCGAAGAATGTGTGCTATGTAAAATTGCACCTACAATGGAACGATGAAAATATTAAATAATATTCATGAATCAATAATTATATAATATCTCGTCATATTTAGGGTATAATTCCATCATTATTCTTGAATTTGGTCTTCTTTCACCAAAATTTCGTGCACCATAATGTGTTAGAGACGTGTTGGTACGCTGGGGTTGCACCGCCTCACGAACGGTTGCATTATTCATGAAAAGGTGTGTTGGCAGTTTTGACACCCTTTCGTGTTTTCGTCATAACTCCTCCGTATGAACTCCGATTTAGATGATTTAACATGTTCTAGAAAGAACACTTGATTTTCTACAACTTTTGTGAAATGGTACTTTTACAGATACTGACCGTATCACCTCCGATAATGGGCTGGAACATAGACGTTGTGTTATGTCTGAAAATGACATTCTCCTCCAATTTGATTTTGTAACTTCTTGGATTTTGGGCAGAATATCTTCTTCTCCATCTCGAAAATACAACTGAAAATTTGTCTTAAGATTGTTAATTGGGTGTGTGTATTTTGAAATGGGAACGAACAAAATTTGGACATAAGTTTGACAAGAAAAATGTAGTCGATGCAATAACTAGGTCTTTTCTCCTTAAGACAAATTTGCCCCGTGCAGTGCTCTCAGTTTACGGCAATTGTCTCCCAAGATACAACGACTCTTTCAGTTCCAACAAAGCAGCACAACAATTATTGGAACACGGCGAACGAAACGACGTTTAGGACTTTATAAGACACGAAGAAATGACTTGTTAATGCAACAATATGCAATGATATGTTATGACGAGAAGTGAATTCAATTAACGTATTGAATTCCATGTGAATAATGAACTATCTCAAATGGTGGATTTTGGAATCTATTTATAGATTTTCAAAGGTTATGACCACAAGTCACAACTCTTAGGAAAATAATTTCATGAAAAGGTATCACACCTTTTCCCATTAACCACACACCTATTCAATTTAATAGGTGCTTAAACACCTCCATCTTTTTCAATGGTGGCATTTCACTTTATTATTTTCCACACTTAAATATTTTAAATAATCCATTAATTTATCATTCATCAAAAATTAATTTTGAGAATTTAAATTAAACCACTTAAATATTTAACAAAATTTGAGTCAAATACTCAAAATTTCCAACAAGAACATTCGTAACCACCATAAAGCATAGCCAAAACTGCAAAAGCTAATATCATAATATATTTATGTGGTATAATAGAGATCCATTTGCCGTTTTCAAGACTTACATATTTATCCGTGCAAAAAAGGAGAAGGTAGGGTTGATTAATTGACAAAAGGCATTTACGAGTTTCTTCTTTCACGCATCCCTTGCTTCCACCAAATAAAAGAAGGTTGTCCAAGTACTAAACATCATCCTCACTCGACCAAATTGGATCTGAACGGGGCAAAACATCGGTGATTGTCACATCATGCTTAAACCTGCAAGGATAAAAATTGTTCGTCGTTTTTAGCACAAAGGATGTAGATAATTTATCAAATACTTGAGTATGAACATATTCAGTTGTGCGCATAACTTGAAAGATAAAAAGCTAATTAAAGCTTCACTTGTTTATAAGGGGCAAATTTGTATTTCTCACTGCATTTCATCATTAAGATGATCAACTTGGTGACCGAGACTGTATTCAATCAACATAAGCATCCAAACAAGAGTGAAACACCAAAATAAAGTCCATTACTCGATTATAGGTCAATTCATAGATGCCTGCCCAAGTGAAGCAACTCATAATGACAAAAAAAAAAAAAAAAAAAAAAAAGAGGAAACTGAAAATTGGAAATACTAGAGTAGAATTCAGGTTCTTACTATCTCATCCCTATCAAATATCAGCAGCTAATGCGGCAATTGATGAAAATAAAGGCCATAATTTACATTTTACTGCTAGGCTAAAACATCTCCCAAGTTAAATTTTTTTTTTTGATGATAAGTCTCTAATTAAATACAAAATCACAAAATGAAAAATAAAATCCCCACGTACTGACCTAAGATTCTCCTCAATTCACATAGGAAAGACAATTTATGTAATAAGAATAATGCTCAATTCTAAAAAAAAAAAATCATTTTAAATGGCATAACTTTTTAAATATGATATGTGCTGAGGCTCTCATCCTTCGATAATTGCCAAGAAAAACAATTGTCTTTTTACAGGAAAAACAATTGGCTTTCAGATTTTGAAAAATAAGCTAAACAGAATTTAATCATCCAAAGCAAAAAAAAAAAAAAAAGGTGCTAGCTTGAGTAAGTTTCACCTTATTAGCCGTCTTCTTCTTCCTCTTCCTCTTCGTTCCGGCACTACTTTTCACTTCAACGGCATAACTTTCATCGAGCGGAAGAATACTTCCTGGGAAAAATTGACAAGAGAAAAATTCCGGAAGCCCATCAATGGTAACATTCTTCGCAAGATTTCTCTCGATATCCAACATAAAAAACCCGCTATCGTGCAGCAGAAAAACCTGCCCTTTGCTCTTAAAATAAGCAACAGGTCTGAGATTCCACCTAGTACCACTACCATATCCTTCCCCAAATGTAAACAACTTTACCCACTCACAATCTTTCATCATCCATCCATCGATGCGATTCATCATGTAGTAGCAGCTCAGAATTAAGCATCCACCAAAAGCATCTACGCGCGTTTCGAAAGGTTTCCCTAAATCGGGAGGCAGAGGAAGTTTGTCGTAATTTTCGGTTTCGAGATCGAGTGCAATTATGAAATCCCATGATCTCCAGTACAATGCTCCATTCAGATAAACCCCGGGGCTAAGCCATGGGAAATCACTAGGGCAGTCGTTAATCACCTTCCAAAAACCCGACCGCAGGCTATAAACGCAAGTCTGGTATACAATTTTACCACGGCGAAGAATTTCATCTATCCTAACAACTTTGTAGTCGTCGGAGGCCGAACAATACCCAAGCCCAGTGCCGATCAATCGTGAATCGTAATCGAACTCAGACACCTCGTGGAAATCTTGCATTACCGGGTTGAATATTGCCCAAATTTTATCCACGTCGTAGTGCGAAAGCAGCATCAGGCCATTGCAGGAGGCAACCGGCAAAGCAGGCAAACGAGGGACGCATGTGCGGTACAATGTCTTCAGAGGCATTACGTCGATCACTTGGTGGGCATCGTTGTTGTAGTCGAGGGAGTCCAGAGATAAAGAGTAGAGGCGAGTGCCGGCTGAGTTTGTGATGACTATTTTTTATCTTAAATTTTTTTCCGGCCACGTCTCTGGAATTGATTTTTTTTCCCTCTCTAAATTACTGTGTTAACAACAAAATTATTGTATGATATAGTAATATTGAATACCAAAACAGTAATATTACTACTATTACTGTCCCAAATAGTAATATTATTGCATGAGACAGTAATATTACGGTCGATGATACCAAAATTACAGGCCAAGACAGTAAAATAATTAATACAATAATATTATTGTCTCAAACAGTTAAATTACTGTCGATACAGTAATATAGCAGGCCAAGACAGTAATATTAATAATAAAATATTTAAGAAAAAATAAGTTTAAAAAAAAAATCAATGCGGGAGACCGGCGATGTCGATCAACATTGGGGTCAAAATTGGTTAATAGGTGAATTTGAAGGGTAAATCATGAAATTGGAGTTGAATTAGAGCCCGTTTAATTAAGCTTACTTAAAACATCTTATAAGTTCCTACATCTGATAAGATGTTTTAGTAGCTGATAATCTGTTAGATCCTATTTTAAAAATTATTTTTAAGGTGTTTGGATATGTAGCTTATAAGTTATCTTTAGTTTTTAAAAGTTGTTCAGGTGTTTGGAAATAAAATGTATGTTTATTGCTATAACTGTTAAATTTATTTGAGTTATAAATTTATTTGACTCAAATACTTTTATTCCTAGAATATTATTATAATATTTATAAATTAATTTTTTAAATATAAAATAATAATATAAAATTATATATTAAATAAACTAATATATTTTTTTATGTATGTTGATATGATATTTGACTATCTTTTCTAAGAAAATAAAGTGTAATAAAATATTTTATGAAAGAGGTTTGTGGAAGTTTTAGTTTTTTGTCCCATGAATATATTAATATAAAATAAAGGTTGTAAAAGAATATAATTTTTTTAATGATAGATAAAAGAAATATAATTTATTATTGAGATAACTAGAATATTCGGGTATTTTTATATACATATAAAGTATAAATAGAGAATAATTTTTTTACAATTATTATGACCATTATGATAATTATATTTAATTAATTATTAATCTTGATTACAAGAATTCGTTGTTTTGATTAGGGGCTTTAAGATATGCACCCCTAGTGGGAAAACTTATAAGATGCTACGCCCAAGCCTATAAAAATATTAGCCTCGCATCCTTTTGTGAAATTGTGCTTATAATACCCTTACGGTGATATTAACGCCGTCTATTTCGTTATTTGGCAAGGTGAAATTAAATCCCACCAATCTCGCCATTAGTAATCTCTAAGATCCTATTTTTCCAAATCCCACATTAACCGTATCATAATCCAGCCCCCCGCCCTCCACCGCCCCAGATTAGGGCCCCGTTCCTCTCGTTTTCTACTGCAAATCGGGGGCGAGCACCCTCATAGCAACATAAAAAATCAAATTTAATTATGATCTTAAACACTATTTCTTTATCTCAAGTAAATTGGTTGAGAATATACATAATTCTATGGCTTGTTTTCCATATAATTTAGCAATGTTTAGAAAATACCCTTAAGTATTAACTAATTAGTAGTGTCAGGCACATTATACGAAGACCGGTTTGGATTTCTAATTCGGTTTTCATGGAGTTGAACACTTTGCATTTGACATGGACCATGTGGCCCATATGAGCGCAGTCTACATAGTCTACATAAATAGAATAATCTGACTATAAAGCCCAAAAAGGGCGACCCAAATTAAAAATCCAGTTCCATCAAAGATATACCAAACCTTAAAAAGGAAGACAAGGTTTTCTCTACCTTTACCGCATACAACGACGTGAGATGAGGCCATAGGCTTGACATCGTGACCTCGAATTGGGGTTTCGGACGAACTCATTTAACCTAAAATTTCATTAATGCAGCATGCCCAAATAAGAAGGTAATTAGGTTAAAGAATCTAATGAATCTTACATTTCAAGCAAGGGAGACTTCTATAAATAGTGGGTTGACTCAAATTTTTACCCTATAATGGTTTTTTACTAGAATCCACAATATGCATATAAATACAAATTTTGACTTAATCGTCGGAATTCTTACATTGGGAAAACTTTCCCAGTGTTGACGGGAGGAGATCTGAGCTGACATCATGCTTGCGTCATCAAAACCGACGAACAAGATACTATTAATATTAGATATGCTAAGTTTGTGTCATGACTCATGACTATAATGGTTAGCCCACGAGGCTATTTATAATTGCAAATTAGCATCGCTTTTCAAATTCTAATACCACTCCACTCCACTATTACTTGCTGCCCCTTTAGCATTTAATTTTGTTTGGTTCAATGGGGGAAATTGATAAAAAAATTCTTGGGCTTGAGGAGATTTCTTAGATATTTTTTTCCCCATTTAGACAAACATATTGAATCAATCAATTTGTCAATTAAAAAAATATTCATTCATAATTATGCAGATTTCACAAAATATAATATTTATATTAGGGCCTTGATCGAAGAATTTGATGCTACATTAGCTTATTTCGGCGTCGTTTACTTCTGTGGATATTTACTACAAGTAACAGATTGAGTCTCTTTTGGTTTGTTTGATTTTATTTAAAATAAAAAATTACGGTTTCTACAAAATCAAATACGCAGGGGAGATGCGGTTGAAGGGGCAGCAGGACATATATGCGCTAGATCCTGGTACGATTGAACATATGTATATGTTGTTGTTTGCTTTTGTCTAAATCTTTGGGTAACTATGAATTCCACCCACAACAAAAAATGTCTGGGCGCGTAAAATATTTTTGTAGTTTGATTTTGTAATTCGTTATTTGGTAATCGTAGTCTTCTGCATTTTTTTGCTGACGTGTGAGTGTTGTTGTATATTATGTTAAGGTTCTGTTTTGTGTGATTATTGCTAGTTGGTGTACATAGACTATATATTTTTATGGTAGTCTGTAGACTAACAATTGTATTAATATGGTAGTTTATGAATTAATACTTGTATTTCTATAGTAGTCTATAAACTGACAATTGTATATATTTTGTTGTAGTTATGTTGTTGTGTGATTCATTCTTTTTTGCTGACCGATGTTGCTGACCTATGAAATAGTTGATGTTAGATGATTGTCTATGTAATTGATATATCTGACCACCAAATGGTGCATCACCTAACTGGAATCAATTGGTAATGTGAACAAATATACATATTTTGTGCATTCACAATGGGACAGAGATGATATATAGCTGCATGTTTAGCTTATTTGTAAGTTTATTGTTAATGAAAAGTGTACATAAGCTCTATATGCATATGTAACTATCTGTATAATCTATGTAGTATTGTGGTATTCTATGGGTACTGTGATAGTCTATGTTTGTCTGTCAATTAGAAATATTCAAATTTCTTAATAAAAAGCTACTGATTCTACAATTAAATGGTATGTGTATTTTTTTTTTAATCTCCACCCACACATGTAGCTTTCATGACAAATAAATATGGTTTGTTACATTTGTAGAAGAGGCCATGAATGTTGCGTGAAGAACGCGAAATAAAGGTGGTTACATATCTCAATTCAGGTCTAACTTGACGTGTACCATGACTTTCTTCGAATTACATACACTGATATTTTAAATTCTATAAATAAAACACAGAAAACATATGTGGAAAAAACTGCACAAGTCACGGGGCTATCAGAGATTCTAATCGACAAACCGTTGACAGTTGAAATTAGTCCGCAACAGAAAGCTGGTTCCAACGATTGTGGTGTAATGGTGCTCTACATCATTAGGGAATATTTTATTCGGATACCATTGGATATCAAAGAAGCAGATGATGATATTACATATATGAGAAAGAACATTGTAGAACATCTTTTGAATTACAAGCTCAATTGAGCAATACAGTAGTCTCATTTTGTTTGTCTTGTGTACGCAACTCCGTTTAGGCAAATGGCATTTGAATTGTTGGCATGTAAACATAATTATGGTTATTAACTCTAGTTTTTGGGTAAAATATTCGAAACAAGTTGGTCGTTATTGACACTATGTCCTATCTATATATTATTATTTTTATATTGGATAAGTACCTTTGGTCATAATTCAACATAGATTTTTTATACATTTGATTTCATTCATTGCTTTACAGGAAATTGAACATACCAACTAAAGATTATTGTACACCGACTGGTATTCAATATCACAAATGTTGAACTATACTATAATATAATGTATTCATCTATGCTATCCTACAGATTAATGAAGATACTTTGTATTTGCACAATGAGTGATAAAAGTGCACCATCCCTAAGAGAATACAGTACTGGAATATGATTTCAAAATCCCTAAATCAGTCTGGTATTCAATATCTCAAATGATAACTATATAATATTATACTTTGTTCATGTACAATTATTAGTATAAACACAATGACATCCACAACAAAGCAGATCCAGGTCTCTATATACAACAACGTGTAAACAAAATCTACTAATAATCGCTTATAATCCTAACACAAATCATATAATCGTATAAACAAACAACATATAGACATATACGTAGACTATATATAATAGACTATGAATATTTGGCAAACAGGAAGATGACTATAATATACTATGTCCTGCTATTCCAACACCAACAACAAATTTTGTGGTTATATATATACTCTGACTATACTTAAGCATTCACATCAAATAACTCAGGCCTTTATGGATATGCAATCTGCAAACACAAATACGATCGATAACAAATCACTAACAATATCAATATGTAAATATAATTCACATCTTAGCAAAAATTCAAATAGCCCAGAAGATGCACTTCGAGTCACTCAATAAACCATACAAGTTCGATAGTTGCACATCAAATTCCTCAAAAATAATATCAAAATTAATGTGAATGGTTATCCTTTGATTTCACAATACGCACAGTCCGCTAGTTCGAACACAACATGCATATCCAAGTTTCATTCAATCATATTATCGTAGCAGACTTAATTATTCACTTCCACAAATCAGCATC